AAATGGTTATCCAATCTGTTCTTAAAAGCCTCCATTGTTGCAGCACCCACAACTTCCAAAAGTCAGTTGATCCCCTGATTGGTTGTCCCTATTTTCAGGAAATTTCTCCTTAGTTCTTCGTTGCTTCTATCTTTGTTCAGTTTCTGTCCGTTGTTTCTTATCTTGCTGTCTGGTCCTTTAGAAAATAAGTTGACCCTCTCTTCTTTATGGTAGCTCCTGACTTTTAACCAAACACACCAAAAATTAAATTCCATTTACACTGATTTGAACATAGAATGAACCTTTGCAGCCATAATTAAGCCTTTAAGAACATGGACTGCTGGTTCCTGTAGCCTTACAACTCTTGATTTCAATTTTTTTTTTCATATTTTTGGCTCCTAAACCTGATAAATTTTGTATGTGAATGGTGATTCAATATGCTGATTCATTGTTAGGGAAAAAGGAGTCAATGAGAGACTTTCACCCGCTGAAGAATGAGCTCACATTTGGGGGAAGAAGATGAAAAAGGGACCACTTTTGGCAGGAATTACTCTGGCAAGAAGAAACATGGCTGCATTTGCATTCAGCTCTTACTTTTCATGGGAGAGCACACCTTTTTGTAAAGGAATTCAGACTATACTGATCTTTAGTGGATAGGGAAGTCCAAAGTGTAAAATCATCCAGTGACTAAAGGGGCAACTGCAATATTTTCCACCCTCATTGTGTCTGCTGATTGCCAAGCAACAGCCATATTTAGGGTGACCTGGTCCTTATTGGTTAGTAGGGAGAGAGATTCAGAACTTCTTCTGGGCTTCTGCAAGGATTATTTATTTATCTTATTAATTTCATCAAGCATGAATTAGATAATAGATATATTTATAAACTTGATTATGAATATCTGAAATGGATACAAATAGGAGGGAATATTAGGACAGGGATGGTAGGCACGCTGGTTTGCTTATGCATGCCTCTTAAAGACCTCGTAGGAATGGGGTGAGGTCTATGTGGATATATCATCCTCCTCCCTCCCTCCCTCCCTCTCTTTCTCTCTCTCTCTCTCTCTCTCTGTGTGTGTGTGTATGTATATTTAAGTTTAAGTTTAAGTTTAATGAAATTTATATGCCGCCCAATCCCGAAGGACTCCTTTTTTTCCAAAAAAGAAAAAAGAAAGAAAAAGAAAGTAAGAAAAAGATAGTTTAAAATTCACAACACATGCATTCGTTCTAATCGGGGCTAAACCTCAACAATGAGGTCAACAGCCCCAGGCCTGCCGGAACAGCCAGGTTTTAACAGCTTTCCTGAAGGACATGAGAGTGGGTAAGGTCCAGATCTCTGGGGGTAGTTGATTCCAAAGGGCCGGAGCAGCCACAGAGAACGGTCTCCTCTGGGGTCCTGCCAGCTGACACTGTCTGGCTGACGGCATCCGAAGGAGGCCCTGTAAGCCATAATAATCACAATTAAGACAAATCATGGCTTGAACTATCTTGCTTTGCATGTAATGAGTCTATCTCATATATTAGTTTCACCTTTTAAGTTGCATTACTG